GTAATTTTGACCGAATTTAAGTTTTACACCCTTTTTAGAGCTTAAATATTTTTTAAATATAAAGTAGATATTTTATTTAGTAAGTTTATTTTAAAGGATTTGAAAACAACAAAAATAGAGTTACCCTTTAAGTTACATTTTTTTTTAATTTATTCAAACTTTAGCAAATAAATTATTGATTTTAATATTTTCTTAATTATATTTTTTATTTAGCTATTTCATATTTTTTTAATTAATGCCAAAATAACTAGTTATTATTATTATTATTATTTATTAACAATAAAAATTAATAATAATAACCTACCCATTACCCCACTATCCACTACCACATTCCCACATACCATTACACTACCCCCACCTCCCATGAAAAACTATCAAAAACTAACCCACAAACCCCCCCCCCCCCTATTATAAAAAAAATTACATAACAAACAAAAAAGAGAGAGAACAAGAGGAACGAAAAACAATCAGAAAACAAAAAGGGAGAAGAGGGGAAAAAAAGAAAAAGAGGGAACGAAGGAAATCAGAAAACAAAAGAAAAAAAACAAAAATGGAAAGGAGGGAAAAAGAAAAAGAGGAAACAACAAAAGAAAACCTTTCATTTTTTTTAAGAACACACGTATAAAAAAAAACACAACTAAAAATAGTAGAGTTCAAGGTTTCAAGTTCGTGGTTCATAAATTCTTTCTTTTTGTTAAATAATTTTCACAAGAGGTAATACTTAATTTTATTTTGTATTGGTTTTATGTCATGATAATGCGAGAATGGATTGCAATATATTGAAGTTGTTAAATTTCGCATGCGTTTAAACCATTAATATTTGTTGATGTAATTATATGAAGTATGTTCAAATATTTCATATCAAGTTTATGTTTAGATCCTTTGTATAGTTATATTTAGTGTGAAATTGTTATAACAAACCGTGATTTATTTCATTTTAAAAAATAAAACAAAAACTAATTAATTTAAGTAAAAATTATTGTCCAAGTCATTTTAATTTTTGATATTTAGTTTTATAATGATAACATGTGTAGCTATTTGATAAATATATTAATTTTAGTTAGTAGGATGTTCATTTAATGTTAGTGACGTAAAAAAAATCGAATAAAAATGAAAGAAAAACAAAAAACAAAAAAATAAAATAATAAAAATAAATAAAAGAAAAAGAAGTATAAAAATAATATTAAAAAAAACATGCAATTGAAGAGGAAAGAAAAAAAAATTCTTGAAAGTTTCTTTGTCCAAACAAAAAAAATTAAGTAAAATAAAAAAAACAAATAAAACCTTGAAAGTATAAAAAAAAATAATAATAACAATAAATAATAATAATAGTAAAAGATGAAAAGGTAAAAAGAGAAAAAAAAAGAAACGTAAAAAAAAATAATTAAAAAAATTAATAATAATAACAAAAGAAAAAGTAAAATAAAGAATATCTTATTTTATTCTGCTTTGTTTGATTTAATTTATATGCGTATATATATTTTTAATTAAAGAGCATAGATTAATAAAATAAGATAGTTTTTAATATATTTAAATAAATCAAAGAATGAGGGTAAATACATTTGTTTTAACAATAGAATATTCAAAAAATTAGTTTAAGTCATAAAACTCCATAAAGTGACCGTGTTAGAACCGCGGGACTCGAGGGATGCCTAATACCTTCCCTCGGTCAACAGAATTCCTTACCCGAACTGGTTCGCAGACCAAACAAAGAGTCATTTCTTTCTTATTAGGGATTAAACAAAAAAGGTGACTTGGAACACCATAACTCAATTCCAAGTGGCGACTCTGAAAAAATTTAAATAATCCCTTAATTAATAACGTCACTTAAATTGGAAAAATTCTTACGCCGCTGCGCAAAAAAGGGATGTGACAAGAGTGACTTTCTTGTATTAGTAATTGTGATTGAGAAATTAGAGACGACAACTAAAGAAGTAGTGAAACTGACCACAATCGATTTCAATCGTTAAAAGGATCGATTATTTTACTAAATATGATTTCTGACACATGTGAAAAAATGTAGATTTATTATTTTTAATTCATATTGCTTTAGGAGATCCATAGGAAAACATACATTTACATCTCGTTCATACGTAAGATTGAATCCGTTTGAGGTAAACTAATCTTGATTAACAAATAAATCACGCCTTACATCGAGTATGAAAAAGTGAAATTAATATAAAATGGTGATTGTAATTCTTGATTTATTATTCTTAGTAGACACGCCTCAAAAATTAATAGATCTTAATTATATGAGTAAGCAGCAATACAAGTTGTACTCAAAAGCAATTACATTTTGTTAGAGTTTTGCACTAATTTTCTTATCTTATTTGAAATTTATTTTTCTTCAAAAAAAAAATGACAAAACATTAGCATAAATATTCTACTTGTAATGAAAAGAAAATATATTATTCTTTCATATTTGGTTTATTGTTTTCTTGGAAAAAATGTTAAGAGATCTATAAATTGAAGAATCCTCTTCATACCAAGAGCACAAAAACATCCACAATTTAGTCGTTTAGAGACTTTTGTTTATGAAAAATTTTACTCTCTACAATTTTAATGTCTTTTTAAAATTATTTTTTAATTATGTATCCAATTAGTCATATCATATAATAATAATAATATATTTTTAGTATAGATTTATGTATCGTCTGATTTATCATGTCTATGATCTTCAATTGTTATTGCAAGCTTCCGCACCCTAATTTCATAACCCAACACATTCTTGGGTACTGTGCTTGAAGTGTTTCCATTTGAATTCACAAGTACAATTAAAAAACAATAGTAGTTTATGTTTTGTTTTTGAAATTTTTTTACGTAATTTAAACACAACAAATCAAAATAGTTAAAAAAAAAAAAGAAATATGATAATGAAAGAATTGATAACTAATAAGAAAAATGTGTACTATATAGCATTTAGAAAGGAAGGTAACACTAACAAAACAGTATAGTAACTGAAACACAATAAACAACATATTGAAATGTACAGTTAGGTTTCATCGATACCTTACTCAAATATATGTGTCTGTGCCGTATGAATTTATTAGATTTAAGGACCTACTTTTTATAATACCAAGATAAACTAAAAATTGATTAGAAAAGAAACATTTTTTCTTTTTGTCATTTCAAATAATGAAAACGGTAATTCTTTTCTATTTTCTTTCTTATTTATTGATGAAATTAACCGAAGCATTGAAATTCTGTTGAAATATGAATGTCAGAATATTTGCAGGCTTATTTACTTGGGCAATTAAAATATTTTGGACGTATTTTTGAGTAATTAAATATTATTAACTTTACCCATTTTATGTATTAAATAGATATAAATGATTTATTTATTGTTAAATTAACACTGACCTTCTTTGACACAGTGATTGACTGATCGAGGAGTTTCTCCTGATCACTGATTGAGGGTTCGAGACTGGTATTCTCGATAAAAAGTGGTTCAATATAGAGGTATTTTAAAATACCTTTTAATTTAAAAATATCGTCTCTTTGATTACATTATATTTTTTATTTTTTATTGTAGAAATTCGGAAACTCAATAAAATTTAATTTTTATTGTATTTGACTAGAGACGTTAAACTCTTTCAATTAATTTAAATTCTTACTTTTGAGTATTTTGCTCGTACACATTTATACTTATCATAAGGTATAATCATTTCATAACTTAATTACATGTATTATGTTAAATTTGTACTGTTATTTTATAATTAATTATAATACAATCATAAACGCAAAAAGAATTCACAATTTTATAAATTTTTATTATATTTCTAATCAAATAATATCAGAATTGTTTATATTTTTTTAACCTTCATAAGTTAAATAAGACTCAATACTCTCTTTATTAAACGTAACAAATATATTCCTTCACCAAATACGGAAAAAATAAAAATAAAAAGTAATTTTGATACAAGAAAAGAAAATTAGTTATAATAAATATGAATACGATTCTTTTATTTAGAGATAGTGTTTGTAGTAATTTGATAAATGTTACTATAAGAAAATCAGTCTCGAAGGGAAATTTAGTCCCTATAAGTCCAAAACTTGTCCCAAATGGTCTATCGCGACGGGAAAATGTCTATCGCGCAAATACTTAGAAAATAGAAAATAGAAAATAGAAGAAGGCGTTTGTGCAACTGTATATAAAAAAAATTTTAAAAAAACAGAAGAAGATAAGGTAACCTGCAATTGTACTGTATAAAAAATAGATGAAAAAGACGAGTACATATAGTTTTGTAGGAAGTAAAATACAGAGGAATCAACTTCAGGTATGTATCATGAATCAGATCCAAATGATTCTTGCCCAATGATCATACCTATTAACAGGGATCTAGTTTTTTTATTAGATGTTTCACTATGTATATAGTTGGGGATCTACATTTTTTTCTTTCAATAACATCATTAAATTTTTCTCACAACAGTCAAGCAAAGATACGCATCATGACACAAATAACTTGAGCTATAAAGCATTGGTTCAATAACTGAGAGTCAAAGGCTACAGGTAATCACACAACCCCCAGTTGAGAGGATAAAATCACCCAACAAAGGACCAAGGGAAGAAAGCACTCAAACATGATCGACCATCTTAGTGGTTTCCTAATAGTTCAATTATGCAATAACCATTGAAATGACTATACGTAAATCAATAAGGGTATATGATCACTTACTTTGTTAGCAGAATACGTAAGTTGTCATTCTGTTGAAATTGTTAATGACGTAAAGAGTGCATATGAACAAGAAAGTCTTAATAAAACCAATCATGCAAAGAAACAGAGCTTACACAAGTACAAAAAGAGAGATTTAAACGAGCACGAGTCTTGGAATGAATTAAACTTAAACTAGAACAGAAGAAAATTTTAGTTTAAATGAGCAGAAGTTCGAGTTTGGATAGAAAATGTTGGACTAGAAAAGTATCGTGCTATTCCGGAATCCTTATACTCTCCATGAAAGAACAACCAAACATGAACAAAAAAGCAAATTAGAGCAAAGCGTAATCTGCAAATACTTGAGAAATGTAAAAGAAACATAATATGAAATAGCAGAAACAATCAAGAAGTTGACTTAAAATCTAAATAGATAAGAAAAAATTTACTTGTCTCATCTCTTTGGGTGTACTATATAACTTCATTTATAGAGTATTAACTTTCATATTCTCAAGAACCACATAATTCTGAGGTATCACTCCCTTTCCTCAATTAGAAGACATGGTAAGGTTTGGAAGTCTTTGTTCTCATCCCGTATAAATAGTGCCTGGAGAAAGCAACTATACTACTATGGTGTGAGAATAAATTTGAATAGCAAGAAATTATACATGGAGGATAGCAAAGGAGAATCAGTCTCCCGACTTTTCCCTCAACAAGTAGCATGTTCGATAATAATGGCATGCCTATCAACAACAGACATATTAATTAATAGGAAATACTATACATCATTAGTTTCTTTCGTTTATTTTGTGAAAGATTTTCTAAGTCATTTACAACATCATCAACAACTTGAATCACAAGGTGGAGTCTTCTTCACTACATCACAATCTTTTAGGGAATTATAATTAGTATAAAACACTTGAGATGATTTATCCGCTACAACAAAAGACTTATTTGATTTTAAGAATCTAATTAGATTCACACTTATGAAGTCATATATACTCATCTCTTTTAACTTTCCTTTTCTTTTTTTTTTGAAAAGCTACAACATTTCTGCTGAGAGTTGGCTTAAATTTGTGATTAGCCACGAACTTCCATTAAAAAAGACTTCAACAACAGTGACAGAGAATCTTATCATCATTAAAAAACAATATAATATTCTACTTAATATATATACTCTGGTAAATTTGTATTAGTTTTTTCAAACTTTAATAATAGTAAGAGTAGATGTAGTAAATTGAAGAGGAAAGAAGATATATTGTTTGAAGTTGACAAGAGACGAACTTGAAGTAGTTGCAAATCAAATTGCTAATTGAATATAATAGATTAGGAATAAAGTTTCAACAACGACAAGAACATAGCAGTGGAATTTCATGAGATTAACATTACTGCGAAATATAACAAGAAGTAACAAAAATTTATATTTGATCAAGCCAAACAGCATACACAGTCAAACTAGGAATTCCAACTCGGCAATATTTCATATATTGTACAAATTTCCTTTTTAAAAAAACGACTACTCCCTCAAATAGGATTCCTAAATAAATAATATTGAAATAATTGCACAAACAAATTATCTACAGATTGTGCAAGAGAAGAAGAAGATTGAGAGTTACTTTGGCAAAGCAAGTAGTAAAGAAAATTTAGAAAAGAAAAAGTTAAACTTGCAGAAGAGGAGACATACCCAAGATTAGAGAAGACGAAAATAGATTTGGGCGAACTGTTGTGCTTTCTCTGTCTTGGGGTAGCTGCCGTGACTACTACAAACTCCATTCTTTGCTGAATGTTAGTTGAGAGTAGTGATTTGCACAAAGTTGCTGCTAGGGCACAACACTATATATGTTTTAAAACAAAGAGTTTTTGTTTTATTTTTTAAGAATTTTAATTGTTACATTTGATGCCTGATGAGGTTTAGAGAAAATATATCTTTCAACTTTATTTTTTAATTTTCTTAATGTGTGTTTCAGCGCACTTTTTTCTCGCTCCCACTCTTAAGTTGTACCAGATACTAATTTATTTAGAGACTAGATTCAGTATAAAACATAAAATTAATTTATGAATCTTTAGAGTCAATTCAATAGCTATTTATTTCGTGTGTCCTGTGTTGTTCTGCCATTCCTCCAATTTAGTGCGAGAAAGCACACAATTAGCCCAATATGCAATATTCTCATTGTTCAATTCAGTTGCTTGTGTGTATAGATCAATAGCTTGTGAATACTTGTATGCAGAAATACATTGCCATCACATATTAATTTACGTAGTTTTCTCATATATTAAAAATATAGAGTAATTATTCGTGATACAATAAATTAAATAGGGAATAAAGATAACATCAATATAACTAATTTCACTATTGATTCAATATTATTAATATACTCTATTTAATAATTTTCTTATATATTATATGAGTAATCTAGCAAACGACAACTTAATTACTAATTAGCCTATGGAAAAGTTATCTAAGGGCACAATTTATTTATCATGATTTTTAAAACTTCTAATCATACAAAAATTACAAAATGCCTACTCTCTCCTATTTTTGGATATATATACACATTACTACAAGTGATATATTGATCAAATACATTACTTAACGCGTTATATCGATGTATCAAGATATATGCGATGCATCTAGACGTTGAGCAAACTATCTAAATTAGTCTAAATATTGAGTGATATATTCAAAATTGAGATGTGATGTATCAGAACTTTCAGAAAATGTATTCGAATTCGGAACATAATATATCAACATGTACTAGAATTCCACCAAAATTTAAGAAATTTTATAATTTAAAAAAAAACAGAAATAAAATCTTAATGTTATAGCTTTTAACACTATAAATTTTGTGTAAAATTTTCACAAATTAATCGAATTCAACATACCTAATCTTTATTACTAGCTGCATTAACTTTTATAGATTACCATGGGGAGTTTAAATTAAGGAGAGTAAATAATAATTGGATTATTTCTTTGATTAAAATCAACTAGGATATACAAAACATTGTACAAAATAGTGTTTGGTTTCATTTTAGATAATATAGACTTGAGTAATTTTGAATGAGAAAATGATCAAAATTACATTCAAACTATTTGAAAAGAATATTTCCTTTATTCAGAATTTAAAACATCCCTTATTCATATTTTTGATCTATTTTTACTCTTAAAAATTAATAGTCCATTATTATTATTATTATTATTATTATTATTATTATTAAATTAAATTAAATTCTAACTCATTAGATTTTTCCCTAATTGTTATAAAATAATTACTTAGCAAATTTAGAATTAACACACTAAGAAAAATAATGGAGGGAGTAATGTCTTTTTAGTCTTATTTATCTCATACATTTGTAAATGTACTATCGATTTATAGTATATTTAGTAATTAGAAATGTGTAACTTGGCTACTTTTTGTCAAAGTGTTGATGGTGTCCACATGGCATGCACATTTGTTTGCAACATTACAAGTGATGTAAGTTACTATTTTGGTGGGGTCCACATGTTATTGTCATTGTTTTACAGCACTCCCTCTTGTATGTCTATATAAATGAAAAGTTGATAACAAATATACATAGATATTCACAATACGCTTTAATTGTTGCCTTATTAAAAATCTTTCTAGAAAAACTCAGTGAGACAAAATCTAGACTAAGAAAAAAAGAGGGTAACGTGTATTTTATTTCCCTGATAAAGACTATGATTCAAATGCTTAAGTCTTCGTATTCCAATCTTTTGCACGATCTTCTCAGGAGTTGAGGCTAGCAAAAATTTAGTGAATAAATCTGTTGTATTATCACTTGAACGAATTTGTTGTACACCAATATCACCATTCTTGATCATGTGTAAAGAATAATTTCGATGAAATATGCTTCGTTCAATCTCCTTTTATGGAGCATCCTCTTAGTTGAGTTATGCATTCAACTAAGACCGGACAATGGAGCGGAACGGGACCACCGAACCGGAACAAATCGGTATCGGAATGGAATGGGACAAGTTGATCTTCGTTGATCGGTACCGTAATGAACCAGATCGGAATTACCGGGATGAATACTTGATTCTGTCTCGTTCTACTATATACCGTGATGGAACCGAAATGAAACGGGATGGGATAAACGAGATGACACATCTAGTTATTTTAAAAAATATTTTTTTTGAATTACGAAAATATGAATAATTTTTTCTTATTTTTCTAATTTTAAATTAATAGTTTTTAAATTTATAATGTAATTTTTTACCTAAGTTATTTTAAAGATATTTTTTATAAAAAATTTACTTATTAAATTTGCAAGTCAAGTCTAATTAAGTTTTCAAGATTTAAATCTTTTGAAGTTTATAAATTATTACTTATTATTTACTAATATGTTATAATTTGTAAGTAATATATATAACTTGTAATTTAATTTAAATAAATTAAATATGTAATTTGAAAATTAAATATAAATAAGATAAAAAATTAACAAATTAAATAATATCAATTTAATTTATTTAAATTTGTATTATAAATTACAATTTCAATTTACAACTACTAGTAGAGTGCATAGTTTACGCAATCACCTTCTAGGAAGGGTTCTCTTTCAATTAAGTCTCGAATGTAATATTAATGTAATACTAATAGGAGATAGTTGGGTTACTTGGGTAGTATTTATTATTTAATATAAAATATAAAATATAATTTATAAATATATAATATAAATTAATTAATAAATATATAATATAAATTAATAAATAATTATTAATTAAATGGAACCAGATCAGACCGGATTGGAACAAAAATAATTCGGTACTGGTACACCAGTATCAAACCTCGATTCCGTTTTATTTGGTGTCCCGATTCTAGATGTCTCATTCCGTCCCGTAGGCAACCGAACCGGGACGAATCAAAACGGTACCGGTACATCCCTTTTCGTTGTGCAGCCTCACATGCAACATTATTTTCAAAGAGCACTGTAGGAACCGTGACATCACACTTCAAACCACATCTTTCTTTGATGAAATGTATCACTGATCTCAACCATACACATTCTCTACTTTCTTCATAAATGACTATTATCTCAGCATTATTTGAAGAAGTAGCAACTATAGACTGCTTCGTAGATCACCATCATATAGCAGTACCTCCATATGTGAACAGATAGCCTATTTGAGATCGAGCTTTATGTGGATCATATAAATAACTTGCATTGCATGACCAACAAGAATTGCACTATCTTTGTTAGTATAAAACATACCTATATCATTAGTCCCTTTTAGATATCATAATGTATGTTTAACTCTATTTCTATGTCTTAAAGTAGGAGAAGAACTAAATCTTCTTAACAAAAATTAACAGAAAATGCTTTGTCAGATCTCGCAGAATTAACAAGATACATAAGTGCGCCAATTGCACTAAGATAAGCTACTTTAGGACCAAGAGGTTTCTCATTCTCTACTTGAGGTTGGAATGGATCTTTACTCACTTCAAGTGATAGTACAATCATTGGAGTACTTAATTGATGTGCTTTATCCATGTAAAATCGTTTCAAGATTTTCTCAGTATAGACAGATTGATGGATGAAGACTCTGTGAAATTAGGTCTTAGGCCTAACCCACACCCCAAAAGCTAGCTCAAAGGGAGGAGGATTACCCAAGCCTTATAAAGAGTTCACCCATCTCATTGATCACCGATGTGGGACTTTTGTCATTCATTAACACCCCACCTCACACCCAGTGCCTAGCATCTGGTGCATGGGCAATTTTAAATTTTGGGGAGCCCCAACATCGGGTGAGACGGGCCTTGCTCTGATACCATGTGAAATTAGGTCTTAGGCCTAACTCACACCCCAAAAGCTAGCTCAAAGGGAGGAGGATTGCCTAAGCCTTATAAAGAGTTCACCCATCTCATTGATCACCGATGTGGGACTTTTGTCATTCTTTAACAGACTCGCCTTCTAAATGTTCAATTCGTAAGCCAAGAAAAAGTTTTTTTCTTTTCAAGGTCTTTCATCTCAAATTCATTCTTTAGATATTTAATTGCCTTTTGAACCTCTTTTGGAGTTTCGATGAGATTAATGTCATCAACATAAACTGCAAGAATAACAATTCCTGACATTTTTTTCTTAATAAAAATGCAGCGACAGATGTCATCATTTATATAATCTTATTTTATCAAGTAAGCACTGAGACAAATATACCACATGCGCCCTGATTGTTTTAAGTCGTATAATGACTTTTGTAATTTGATTGAACACATTTACCGAGATTTTGAACTATATGCTTCATAAATTTTAAGTTCTTTTGGAATTTTCATATAAATTTCATTATCAAGTGAACTGTAAATATAAGTTGTAACCACATCCATCAGATATATTTCAAGATTTTCATGAACAACTAAACTAATGAGATATTGAAAAGTTATTGCATTTATTCATAGTCGACATTAGGTCGTTGAGAGAATTCTTGCGCAACAAGGCGTGCCTTGTATCTTTCAATTTCGTTTCTCTCATTTCAATTTCTCAGCCAATCGATTTTACACCATTTAAGTTTGGTCTACAGGTCCAAAAACCTCACGTTTAGCAAGTGAGTCTAATTCTGATTGAATTGCCTTTTACCTTTTTGGCAAATCATATATTCTTTGACATTCTTCAACAGATAAGGGTTCAAGTTCCTCTCTGTCTTGCATAATGTTATGTGCAATATTATATGCAAAAACATTATAAACTATGATTTTGATTATTCTAAACTTATTCCATCACCCGTAGAACTGGTTGAAAGTGCTTCATTCACTTGAGTCTCGGGTTCACTGATCTCTTCAGAGTATCATGATTATTCAGATCTTAAATCTCTTCGTGAGATTTTTTTGTAGTGTCATTTTTCATACTTCTTTTTTAAAGCTATTTTTCCTTTGAACCCAATGATATTCAACGCTTCAAGAGTGTTTGTGATTCAGAAGTCACGACACTTGTAGATGGTCCTTTTGGGACGTCAATTCGGATGAACACATTTACTTCATGAGTATGTGACTTTGCTATTCTTTTCAAATAAGTAAATGTGTCTGACATTTGATTTGCTATGTTTTGCAAATAGATGATCTTCTGGAACACCTTTTCACGCATAGGGGAACGTGGATCAAAATAATATAATGATGAAACTTTCCATGCAATTTCACTTTTAAGTTCCTTTTTCTCTCCCTCTAATTGGGAAAAATTTATTTCATCGAATTGACAATCTGCA